CATCCTTGCATCCCTGGTATGAATCTCACTTGGTCATGATCTGTTATTTTTTTGATGTGTTGTTGAATTCTGTTGGCTAGGATTTTGTTGAGAATTTTTGCATCTATGTTCATGAGGGATATTAGTCTATAATATTCCTTGTTAGTGTTGTCCTTCCCTAGTTTTGGTATGAAGGTTATGCTTGCTTCACAGAATGTATTAGAGAGTTTTCCATCCTTTTCTATATTCTAGAATAATTTGAGTAGAATTGATGACAGCTCTTCTCTGAATGTTTGGTCAAATTCACCAGTGAAACCATCTGGACCTGTACTGTTTTTGGTTGGGAGTTTTTTGATGACCTGGTCAATGTCTTCCTTTGTTATAGGTCTGCTCAAGTTTTCTACTTCACTCTGTGTAAGTTTAGATAGGTCGACTTTTCTAAAAATGTATCCATCTCCTCTAGGTTTTCAAATTTATTGGAGTACAGCTCTTCATAATATTCTGTTATTATCCTTTTTATTTCCATTGGTTCTGTTGTGACATCACCCATGTAGTTACTCATGTGTGTTATTTGTGTTTTCTCCCTCTTTTCTTCTGTTAGGTTTACTTATAGTTTGTCAATTTTATTAATTCTTTTAAAGAACCAGCTTCTTGTCCTGTTGAACCTTTGTGCAGTTTTTCTGTTGTCTATCTCATTTATTTCTGCTCTAATCCTTATTATTTCTTCTATTGACTGCACATTTATTTTGCTGGTCTGTTTCTAGTTGTTGGAGATGTTGTGTTAATGCATTGATTGTGGTTCTTTCTTGGTTTTGGATGTGTGCATTTATTGCAATAAACTGTCCTCTCTGCACTGCTTTTGTCGTGTCCCAAAGATTATGGTATGTTGTTTTCATTCTTATTTGTTTCTAGGAACTTTGTGAATTCACATTTTATTTCTTCTACTACCCAGTCACTTTTCAGCAGGGTGTTACTTAGTTTCCATGTATTTGACTTCATTTCCTTGGTCTTTCTTTTGTTGATTTCTAATTTGACAGCATTGTGAT